GAGAGAGAGAGAGAGAGAGAGAGAGAGAGAGAGAGAGAGAGAGAGAGGCAGGCACGCACATTAAAAACACTAGCAATAAAAAATTATTTCAAAGAGTTATTTTTATTTATCTTTAGTTACTACTTTTAACTTTGTTCAGCTTCCTTGTTAACACAATAGCTGGGAGTACACTCACCATTAAAAGTTAAAATACTAACTGTTACAAATGATTAGAAAGAGCTTTTAGAGAAGGTAACTGAGTATTACAACAATTGACAAAAAGGAGGAGCTTTGTATGCGGTATCACACCTGTAGTCCCTCCCAGCACTTGGGGATAAGGCCAAGAGGATCAAGAGTTCAAGGCGAGCTGAGACTGCATTACAAGTTCAAGGTCAGCCTAGGTTTCCCCAATCACTATTGAAAAAAAAGAAGAGAAAAGAAAAGAAGAGAAAGGAAGGAAGAAGGAAAGGAGAGAGAGAGAGAGAGAGAGAGAGAGAGAGAGAGAGAGAGAGAGAGGGAGGAGGGGGCTGATAGGAAATATTCTCTTTGTCATAGCCAGACACTAACTAGGCCACCTATGATTTAAAGATTGTTTTTTTGGGTGGGACTTAGGAGAAAATAGCTCCTCAGTGCTTGGCTAAAAGGCAAACTAATGGAAGGAAATTATTTTCGTTTCAAAATATATTGATTTTCACTGTACGTATTTGTATGTTTCTATTGAGAAAACAAGGTACAGGCAGGGACAATTGCTAATTCATATGAAACCTCTGCCTCACTCTTGACTGGTTTGGTAAAAAATTGTGAGTTTTAGCAAAATTACTTGAATAATAAAGTAGGTGTTGTAGAGAGGTATTTGTTTTGGAGGAGGTACATGTGCTAAAAATTCCTAATGAAAATAGTGGATGCGCCGGGTAAATAAATCACTCGCTTGAGAACATTTGCACAGCTCCCAATCACTAATGGCTGGTGGGTACTGGAAAGCACATTCATTTAAGCCAGGACTCACACAAATATGTCTGTTAGCTGGCCTTGGGAACTTGCAGTCTGGAGGGAAAATGTTATCTCTTGTCAAAATACAGGGCCGAGGGAACAGGAAAGGACAGGGACTCCACTTGCCAATCAAGCCAGGCAGAGCCAGCTGAGCAGTTAGACTTTGTCTGCAACAAACTCTCACACTTGCAACAAATTCTCTGAAGACTGAAACACCCATGCATAAAAATAAGGCTTTATCCTAAAGTTTACAAATTTTGGGAACTAAATCTCTGTCCTGTAGGTTGTCATACCTGTAGACCATTAAGTTACTATGATAAAGTTAGAACATTTCCAGCTGGTTTTATGTTTTGGTGGAGGGATTTTATCAATCCTGTATAATTCTGAACACCTACAATACCTGGGAGGATCTGCTAGTGGGAGTTTGTACATTCCTGGAGTGGATTCTTTTGGATATATTGTGTTTCCTCTGTAGACATTGTATTAATATGACAGAGCTTATTCCTGAGCAATTGCTGTTGGCTTTTTATTAAATAACATGTTCGCATCTTTCTTTTTTAATAAAGTAAAACTTTCCTGTAAAAATGCTTACTTACCAGAAGAAGATATCTACACAATGTGGCTCTTCAAAAAGAGACAGAGGAGAACAGAAGAAATGTACCTTCTAGGTTCTGAGTCATGTCATTTGACTTTGCAATGGAGGACAATTTGTCTTTGTGTTGGAAAGTGAAGCTGATGTCTGTAGAGAGTGCAGGGGTCACTACTTGCACTGGGAGTAGGAGAGGGGGATTGATGCAATCAACATGCTAGAACATTGTCCATGACATAGCAAGGGCATGGGGTAGCCGAGTAGCAGAGAGCAAGGCAGATGGAGGAGACAAGGTCTAACAGACAAGAGATAACTTTTGTTCAAGAAGAAAGTTCAGTATACCTAAAGGAGATACAAACCATTACACTGGTGTGAAGGAAGGAAAGTGCCAATGTGGGAATGGCGAGATGAGGTGAGGGAGGTGGACTACAGAGGAGTTGGTTTGGGAACACTAGTAAAGAAGACCGAGCTGTAGCTGGAGGAGAGCCCGCCTTGAGAAAACTGAATAATCCTGATGAAGAAACAAAGCGTTGAGTTGAGTCTAGGCCTTCACATGGGGTAAAATTAGGTCAAGTCAATACCTTTTGGCAGCAATTGGTGCCGCACACCTGGATAGTTACACATACAAAGTGAAGCCATGTAGGGAAATTGTAACAGATTACTCAGATTCAACAACTGTAACAGATTCAACTCTGATTCCCTAAATGGGTTCGTGAAAATCGAACACGTGTATACACATATGCGTACGTAATCATCAATGTGTGCACACATGGCTATATACACAATTAGGCAGGGAATCAGGTCTGAGCAGGAAAAAGGCCAGTATGGTGTTTAGTTTCTCTAAAGAAAAATATCTGCCTGACATTTCCTTTCCAACCATTGAGTATGAAATTGAAAGGAATTGGCTAGAAAGAAGCCTACTGGTTTTTCATTTTTTTCTTTTGAATGGTGTACCTACTGTTTGTCATCATATAAATTAAACTTACTTTCTTTTATCCAGTCATCCGGGCTAAAGTTAAAGAGGTAAAGATGAAATGTCATGACGTGACCGCCGTTGTGGAGGTGAAGGAAATTCTAAAGGCGTCACTGGTAAACATTGCAAGGGATACCGTGAACCTTTACACCACCTCTGGCTGCCTCTGCCCTCCACTTAATGTTAATGAGGAGTATGTCATCATGGGTTATGAAGATGAGGAACGCTCCAGGTATTTTCCTCTGAAGGACGTCTGGGAATTGTTTTCCTTCCTAGCCAGTACATTTCTTTTTACACATCTTACTGGGCCTTTCTTGACTTAGGCTCTTTCTACTTTCTTGGGAACTATGGCTATATATTTTAACTTTATATATTGGATAGAAAAAGGATATGAGCATAGCTTATGGGTATAGATTTTTCTGGAAAGAGGGATCATTGCTTTATTTATTTCTGAAAGGGGTCTATGATTCCTAAATAGTTAAGACTCTTCTCAGCTCTCTGGCTTTCCTATTAGCTCTCTGGCTTTCCTATTCTAGGATGAACATATTTAGTTTTTCTTGCCACCAATTCCTTGAATTTTTCAATTATATACTCTGCTTTTTCAAAAGCGATCATTTGATTTTAAAAATACAGGTTACTCTTGGTAGAAGGCTCTATAGCTGAGAAGTGGAAGGATCGGCTTGGTAAGAAAGTCAAGGTAAGCTTGGGTTTTATGTTCAAAGTAGTACCAGAGCTGGGACTTAGGTCTGTGGTAGAATGTTTACCTAGTGAGCACATTCCAGCTTCATACCTGGCACCAGAAAAAAATTCTCTCTGGTAATATAATCCACAGAAAACCACCTCTCATATAAATTAAATAGTTGCCCTCAACTATGTGAGAATATTAAGACCTGCTATACACATACACATACACATACACATACACATACACATACACATACA